CTAGAAAGGGCCATGAGGCAACTGAAGAAATCATTAGTAGTTGGAGGAAGATGTTTCAGTTTAGTGATGAGGTCAAAAGCCAGATTGCAAAGGGTTAAAAGGCCCAGTGAAAGAAGAGGAACTGCAAGCGAGGCACTAAAGGTTTTTTTTCTATGAGTTTGAAATAGTAAAGGGAGGAGAGAGTATAGATAATTATAGGATAAATTAAGGAGACGGTAGGGGTCTAGCAAAGTTGTTTTTTTTTTTTAATTTTTGGTTTAATTAACAGCAATCTCTTTTCCCTCTACTTTATCCAGCTCCTTTTGGGGGAAAAAGATCCTTGTAAAAAACATGCATAGTCAATCAAAACAAATTCTTATTCTGCATCATGAGTCTATCACCTCTCTATCAGGAAGTAAGTAGCATGCTTCATCATCAGTTTTCTGAATTCACGATTGCTCATTGTATTGATCAGAGTTCTTATATCTTTTTAAGTTCTTTTCAGTGTTATACAAATTATTCTCATGGTTCTACACACTTTTCCTCCACATCAATTCATACAAATCTTCCCAAGTTTCTCAGAAAATATCTCTTTTGTTATTTCTTATGGACCCAAAACATTTCATTATATTCATATGCCTTAAGTTTTTAGCCATTCTTCAATTGGTGGGCACCCTTAGTTTTCAGTTCCTTGCCCTGGTGAATGAAGGTTTTTTAAAGATGAAGGGACACTTGTCTGTAGGTATTTCATAATGAATTACTAAATGGGAAGAAAAAGTTTATTTAAAAATTTTTAAAAATATTTTATTTCTTCCAATTACATGTAAAGATAATTTTTAACATTCATTTTAAAAAATTTTGATTTCCAAATTATCTCCCTCCCTCTCCTCCCTCCCTCCTTCCCCCTTCCTAAAATGGTAAGCAATTTGATGTAGGTTATATATGTGCAATCATGTAAAACATTTCCATATTACACATGTTGTGAGAGAACAGACCAAAAGGAAAAAAATACAAAAAAAATAAAGTGAAAATGGTATGCTTCAATCTGTTTTCAGACTATATCAATTCTTTCTCTGGATGTGGATGGCATCTTCCACTACGAGTCCTTTGGAATTGTCTTGGATCCCTGCATTGCTGAGAAGAGCTAGTTATTCAGAGTTGTTCATCTTACAATATTGCTGTTACTGTGTATAATGATCTCCCAGTTCTGCTTACTTTACTTTGCATCAGTTCATGTAAGTCTTTCCAGGTTTTTCTGAAATCCTTTTGCTTATCATTTCTTATAACATAACAGTATTTTATTACATTCATATATCAGAAGTTGGAGCTTAGAAAGTGGGGATAACTAAAGTTTTCATCTGCTGGAAAAGACAAGAAAGAATAGTATCAAGGGCACATTGAGGGGTTGGTCTTGGGTTTGACAAGGAGAAAAACCACCTCACTATCTATCAGAGATTGGAAGAAGAAGAATTGGAAATTATGTCCAGGGGTTTTGAGATTAAAAGAAGGGAAGAAGAGGGAGCTCACATTAAATGGCTTCAATTTTCTCAGTAAAGTAAGAGATCTTCAGCAGAGAGCTTGGGAAGAGGAAGGTGTGACATGACAAAAAAAAATTATCTAATGTTAGAGGTAGCTGGATGGTAAGATAGATAATATTGGACCTGGAGTAAAGAAAAGGTGAATCCAAAGTATGCCTCAGATACTAATTGTGGCATGTCACTTAACCTCTGTTTGCCTCAACTTTGTCATCTGTAAAATGGGAATAATATCAGTACCTACCTGTTGTGAGGATTAAAGGAGATAATGTATGTAAAGTGCTTTGCAAAAGCTTAAAGCACTCTGTAAATTCTAGTTATTACTGTGAGGTAGCTAAGTGGCACATACCTAACGTTGGAGTGTTGGATCTGGAGTGTCAAGACCAGAATTCAAATTCTGCCTTGTATACTTATTAGCTACATGCCGTTGGACGAATTCCTCACCTCTTTCAGCCCCAGTTTCTCATCCATAAAATAGGGATAATAATGGCACCTATTTCCAGGGATTATTGTGAAGCTTGTATGAAGTACTATGCTATACAAATGCTAGCTTTTGTTATCATCTACTAAATCATCAACACTTCCTTTCCAAGGTCCAATTAGGAAACTTCTTAATAGAGATTTGGGGTCAGGTCCAAAAATGGCTCCAGGGAAGTAGTGGTGGCAGAAAAGTACCAAAGACCCCAATACTATTTATTGCCAGGCAGCCTCATGACTTTGCAGATATATTCTATTGTAGACCAAAAGAGGCCACTGTGATTGCTAACATTTATTAAACACCTAAACCAAGGTCTAACTTTAACTTCCACATTCAATCTCCAGTAAGTAAATATCTTGGACTCATAAATTCACAGTGCCAGAACTGGAAGGGACCTCAGAGATTAATTAGTTCAATCTTCATTCTTTTTAACATGAAAATATCCTTTAAGAACATGAATCTTGTTGTGGTCACAATTTACTATCTTCCAAAGGCAGTGATATTCTTTTATACTTATTTGAAAAATCAGTTTTTAGTTCCTTGAGGAGAGAGACTGTCTCACTTTTGAACTTTTATCTCTAGTGCTTAGAAAGTTGCCTGACATAATACCATAGGCAATACTAAATAAATGTTCATGGCTCACTGATCTCACAGACTACTTAGAAGTCACATTTTACATCATAAACTTTAAAACTGTTTATGACATAGTCAAGCATTTGATTTTACTTTGTCCAAGACTGGTCTGTATTTTGTAGCATGTGTATAAACATAGCAACATTTGAAATAAAAGATAACATGGGGCAGTTTTCTATACAAACTTAGGCATACATTAGGCTCTTAATAAATGCTTGTTGATTGATTGAAAGGGAGTGTCAATTTGGCAGCTAAATGAATGATGGATTGGATTAGGGAAAGAATGGATGCAGAGAGACCAATTAGAAGACAACTGCTTCATCACCCTGGCCATATCCACTCCTGCTGCTGCTCTCCCCTCCAAATCTTACCTTCTAGAGACCATACCCGGAAGAAGCTAAGCAACTCAGCTCTGAACTCCTTAGGACTACATTCTTTCTCTGGCCATATACACGGCCCTTGACTTCAGGCTTTGCACTCTGCCACCCCCACACACTCATTTTCTCTCTCTTGCTTGGAGAATTGTAATCGAATCAACACCACCACTGCTTAAGAAAGGACCTATCAATTCTTTTCACTGGTTTGACTCACTATCTCTGTAAATTCCCAAACTAAAACAACCTTCCAGGCCACCTCTCATAATATGTAATGTCTCCTCCAATTAGCTCCTCTAGGATTTCCAACAGTAAAGAGTAAGTGCTAACATGGATGCATTCATAAATTAATAGTTACTTCTTTCTGTGATGCTGAAGACATCACCGACCATTTACTGCTCAGAGTAAAAACAAAATTGTCAAACCTTTGTAACTATTGTAAAATGCAGGCCACAAAAATAAAGAGAAAGCATCATTATAAAATGCGCTTTGAACTAAAATCTGTAATATTTCTCTGAAAAATATATTTGATCCAACATATAATTAAATTATCTTATGCTGGCTCAGGAGATAGTATCCATGGCATGATGATCAGTTTTGTTTAAAATGCATTTTTTTCTTAGTTCAAGGAACTAAATATGTAAGGAATTTAGTGTTTGATTCCTCTCTTTGCTACTTGAAACGTTGTACAACCTTTGAAAGGAATTTTCATTGGCTTCCATCTCCCTATCTGCACTTGTTCCAACAGTTGTTATATAGGCTTGGTATTAATTATTTGGAATAAATTTATCTCTCATAAAGAATAAAAATAAACATCCTATAAGGATAATACAGAAATCTTATCTAGAATTTTCAGCTACCATAAAAACTTTTCTGTTTATACGTTGTTTAAACTCTTCTGGGAAATCAAAAGGTATTTTAACAAGTGAGCCATCAGTTTGGCTTTCATCAAAGGTTCTGTAGAATTTATAAGGCATTTAGATGAAAGAAGCTACCAGAAAAAGGCAAGCATCATTTTGTTTTCATAATCCTCTACAATTTTCTTAGTATGGTCCCACTTTCAAAGTGCAAGATCAACACTCTAGTCTGATACAATAAGGCTTTTGTCTGCCAGCCCAGCTCAGTAATTTTCTATCTTACAGAGATAAAAGACAGCTGTGAAACCCCAGGGCCAGCTGTGTGTCCAGAGCATTTAGTATCTCCGCACAAAAACGGGCCTCTATCTATTCCTTTATTTGAGGCAAGCGTTCACCAAGCGCTAACTATCTCCACCACTCCCCTTCTAAACAGGCTCCTTCTTTCCCAACTCACTCTTTCCCTTTCTTTCTCTTCCTCACTTTTTCAAAATCAACCGAGTAAAGGGGATTTAAATTCCATCCCGGAAGTTGGGCTCTCGCGCGCCGCACGGTGGGATTCGTAGTTCCGGATCCCCCTTTCTAACTGCCTTTTCCGCCCGTTTTCCCGAGCCAAGGGAGACTACATTTCCCAGGAATCCCTCAAGAAACCCACCTCCGTGCGCAAGCGCTCTGCTGCCGCAGGATTTGAATCGGCGGCGTTGTTATTGACGCCATATTGGGGCTGGCGGCTGGTAGAGAGAAGTCTTATAGGGGGGCGGGGGGAAAAGGGAAGCGGTTAGACAAGCCTTTCCTTCAGCTGCCGCTGCCGTCGCCGACGTCGCTGCCGCCTCCTCTCAGCCATCCCCCCGGCATTTGTCCTAGCTCCACCGCACCCCAGACCGGCCCTAACCGGCGAAAGTCGCGTCCCGTCTTCAGACTTCGCGGGCCCCCAAGAGAGACGGACCGGTTGAGAGGAGGACACACTGAGCCGGGGCGGGGACCGGGGTCGGAGGCTCCCGGGAGAGCGGGAGCTGAGGAGGAAGGAAGGCAGGCAGGCAGGCAGGAAGGCCCCCGGCGCGAGGCCCCCCTCCCCCCGACGCCGCCGGCTCTCGTCACCCCAGTCCCCCTCCCCGCCCGCCCAGCGCCGGTCCGTGCGGCCACTGCTGCTCCCGCCGAGGCGGCGGCGGCGTAGTCCGCGTCCGCTGTCCCTCTCCGCCGCCCGGCCCTAGGGGGTCGCCGGCTCCCCTCCCCAGCTCTCCTGCGCCCCGCGCCCTCTCGGCCCCGGTCATGGCGTGCGGAGCCACTTTGAAAAGGACTCTGGATTTCGACCCGCTGCTGAGCCCGGCGTCCCCCAAGCGGCGGCGATGTGCGCCATTGTCGGCGCCCGCCTCGGCCGCCGCCTCCCCGTCGTCGTCGGCTGCCGCCACCGCCGCCTCCTTCTCGGCCACCGCCGCCTCGCCGCAGAAGTACCTCCGGATGGAGCCGTCCCCCTTCGGCGAGGTCTCCTCTCGCCTCACTACAGGTGGGTCCCCGGCCTCCGAGTTCGGGCGGTGGGCGGTGGGGGAGGACCCCCTCCCTCGCACTCTCGTCCTGTGCGGCAAACATTGGGCGCCTGCTGTGTGCTGAGCCAGGCTCCTGGACGGCGCGCAGGCCGTCAGCGAGCTTCCATTCCACTTAGAGGCCGGCTGGGGGAGGGAGTTCGAGCGAAGGAAGGCAGTGGCGGGGGTGGGGTGTCTTGCTCTCCTCCCCGCCATGTAGAAAGTCCCGTGTTTTATTTAGTAGAGGGTATTCAGGGTCGTGGGACGGGGAGGGGGGGGCTTGCTTGTTTTAATTAGGCATCCTGGAGACCGACACAATAGAAATGGCCGTTGGGGGGGGCAGTGCGCGGGGGTTTGAAGGGAAAGACGGGAGAGGGGCCGTGGGAGGAGTGGGAAGAGGGAGATAGGGTTTCTTAGGGCGGAGGGCCGGAATCGAGGTGAAGAACGGTAGAAACAGCTTCTGGAAACGACTCCCCCATGGTCCTCTTACCCCCCAAACTGGGGGAGCAAGAGAACCCTTTGGAGCGCCCACCCCCACCCCGGTCGCTATCTTGCAGCTATTGACTGTGGGATTGACCGGCCGAAGTCCAGGAGGCAGCAGTTCTTGCTCGCTCAGAGCTGGGGTGGGGGTGAGGGCCGGGGGTAGATGACCCTGGGGAGCGTGTGGGCCTGGCATCAATCACCCAGCGAAACGCCGATTCAGCGGAGTCTATGTCTGTTTCATATATGGCAGGTTCAGCAACAAAGACAATGCTCTTTTAGGGCACTGAAAAGTAAACCACATGTTAAGACCCTGAGTCACCCCAAAGTTTTCCTGGGGAATGTATTTGTTTGTAAAATATTAGCTTAAGTTGGGTAATTAATTGCTTGGATGAGGAAAAGCCTTATCTAGCCAAAAGGTGTTGGGGAATGCACCCAGAGTGTTGAGTAAGAAAGGAATCAACCCCAAGCGCCTCAGGATATTTTCGTGTTTGGTTTCGAAACTACTGAAAGTGACGGAGGGTGGGGGGTGGGGTGGAATGTTTTTTTGGCTGCTTTGTGTGTGCCCCATTGCTATGCCCCCTTCTTGTGTGTACTTTAAAAAGCTCTAGTTCCCTTGGCACACACTATCACAGAATAGGCTTTTGTGGGACTGAGGTGTAAAATCGACTTCCTTTCTTTGTATGTAGCTTGCTAGCAAAGGTTTTGTGTATTGGCTTTTGATAAAGCATTTGCCACTAATGACTGGCTTGGTGACTGAGAGAGATGGTCACAGATCCTTTTTTATAGAATGGGTGAACTAAATGTCCAATTATTGCCAATTTAGAAAACCTTTGGGGAGGCCTAGTGTTCTAAATGTGGCATCTTCCATTCTTAGTTGGCTGCCCTAATTCTTCCCTTTTTAATTTTGCTAGTTTTAAGATTAAAATTGCATTTAAGATATTTTAAGGATAGCCTTAAATTCAATAGAGGGTCCAAAATACCACCCGCCCCCCAGCCCTCAGCATTTTTGCTTTCCAATATTTGAAATTAATTCATGCACAAGTAGTTTTTGGCTGTAGTGTTAGTGGATTTTGTTTCAACAATGCAGAATATTTTACCTGAATTATAATTGCTTTCTGTGGAAAAATAGTGATCCTGGATTTATGGCTGTAACTTTTACTAAAAAGATGTCACCCAGATACTTTAGTCTTTTGTAGCAAGGAACATGCTTGCAGTTTGGGTTTTTTGTATTTTTTAATGCCTTTTACAGTTTAACATTTTTAATGAGTGTAAATTGAAAACTGACTGGAAGAGTGTACATAATGAATGCAAGAACATTTGAAAAAGAATTCAATAAATTCCAGTGTCAAAGGGAAAACATTTGGAAGTTAAATATGTAGTCATTTCTGTCTCTAAAGTCTAAATTGATAATGGTAAATTATATTAAGCATGTGGTCAGTTGACTTACTGGATTTATGACTTTCTTAGAACTTAATTCAATATTATTTCATAATGGAGAGAATGCCAGTTTTAAAACTTAGTAGGTGTTAGAATCTGTACACAAAATCAGATTTAGTTAGATGGATCGAACTTAACTCTTTTCACATACTTGATATTTTTGAAATAGTTCTTGTTGACATATACATGGGAGAGTTTGGTCAAAATTACCCTTATATTTTTAAATTTGAACTAAGCATCCTAACTGCTTTTTTTTCTTGTTAAAGAGATTAGTTAACTAGATCCCACATTATACCAGGTATCTGAAATACTTGTCTTAAAGTGAAATGGGTTGAGATGTTTTCGTAATAGTTTTATAAATTATACTTAAGTTAATTTTAGATACATAATTAGCAAGATTCTGTGTATCACCATGGTTTTGAACAGCTTCCTACTATAATTTAAGGTTGTGCACATTCAGCCATATTTATTAGGTGTGTACTTACATAGCTTTTGTAATACTGTCATAATGAGAGCATCAGCATTACACACCATCTATTGAAAAACTGACCCCTTTAAAATTTAATAACAAAAACAAGGTATTAGATACCTACAAAACAATGTTTCCTTTTCTTTAGAGCATAGTGCTTAAACTAAAATATTTGGAGTGTAAGTATTCCTTAAAAGAAGTGAGATTTTAGGTTGAGAAGTCTGCCAGTTAGTAGGCATTTATTTAAAATGCCTACTGTGTACCAGGTACTGTCCTAAGTGCAAAAGATAATCTTGCTGTCAAGAAGCTTACAATCTAACATGGGGGAGACAATGTGCAAACAATCATGTATAAGAAGCAGTAGTTCACTAAAGGAAGGCAAAACATTACAGGAACCTACAGTCATGACAGATTGGGACTTGGTTCTTTTCTTACTACTTTGACATTGGAAGAGACTAGAATACATTTTAGAGTTGTCATCTTATAACAACTTGAATAATTAAGTAGAATACAAAAATCAATTTTTAGTTCTGTATCCATTTTTCCATATTTCTCTGCATTCAGTTATCTTTTCCTTGTTATGGGAACTATAGTGTGCTATGTTATCCTTGTATTTTACACACAAGAAAATTATTAAAGAATCCTAGAGTAATTCCTACTAGTTGTGTAATTTTAACAGACTCTTGAGATAAAAGGGACTTAAGTAGTCATGTGTTAAAGCTTGTCCACCTGGAGGTATCTCGGGAAGTAATTCATTCTAGTCTTAGTAACTTATTCTGTTGCCAAGAGTTGCCAGCAGCTTCTTGATTGCTCTCACAGTGTAGGGTTTGTTTTTTCCTCTTAGGGTTTACTATGGTGATTCTCAATCTTGGTTTTGTAACATACTGGGATACTATAATAGAGTGTTAGAATTTGGCACATGAGTATTTTAATAACCTTCCAGTTAGCTTAGGAGTTGTCATTAAAATTTTAAAGAACAGAAACAGTTTAAAAATATTCTTTTAAAAACTAACTTTAAGGTTTGCAAAACTCTTCATATTCTCATTTGATCTTCACAGATGAAACTGAGAAGGGCTTAGTGACATGCGAGGTCATACAGTATCTTGCAACACTTTTAGAACAAAAAATACTGTGTGATAAGTAAAAGGGGCAGCTAGGTGGCATAGTGGAGTGCCAGGCCTCTAGTCAGGATGACTTATCTTCCTGAGTTCAAATATGACCTCAGGCACTTACTAGCTGTGTAATCCTGGGCAAATGACTTAACCCTGTTTGCTTTAGTTCCTCATCTGTCAAATGAGTTGGAGAAGGAAATGGCAAACCACTCCAGTATCTCCAAGAAAACCCCAAATGGGATCACAAAGAGACATGACTGAACAGCAACAATAAGTAAAAAGAAAAAGTGAGATAAGTGATTACAAGTACATCACTGTGGATGCCAGTCTGTTTTGGGAATGCATTAAAATACTTATTTTCGTAATAATTTTACTAGAGTCATAAAATCATTGAGGAGTTGTGGAACTCTGGAACTAGAAAGGACCTTGAAGATTGACTCACTTCAGCCTCCTCATTTTACAGATAAAGAAATTAAAGGTTCATAGTTATTGGCAAAACTAGGACTAGAATTCAGGACCGTGGGGAGGAAGAGAAGAGTACTACTGTACTTAGAATGAGAAGACCTGAGTTAAGTCTGATCCTTGCAGCCTACTATTACTGTTACCTCTGTAACTCTGGTCATGAAAAGATCATCTCGGGTCTCAGTTTTTTATCTGTAAAAGGAAGGGGTTGGGCTCGCCATTAGATCTCCTAGGTTCCTTCTAGGTTTAGTAATGTTATGAGTCTGGTTGTGAATATAACATTTTTAATCATTGAGCACTCATTTTGAATTCAAACCTTCATGTGTAGATGTTGGAAGAGATAACAAAGTTTAGATAAGAATTCCTACCCGTGGTAGGTGAATGAATATGAGAGATAATCATAATGTACAATATTACATGAAAGTATTTCTTGCGAAACAGTGTTGTGTGAGGTCTGATGGAGAAAGTCTTATTAATAAGACTTAAGACGCATTATTGTTACTGTTCCAATTTTAAGTGTTAGATGCCATAGGAGTTCAACAAATAGATTGGTTGATCTTAAAATTCTTTTATAAAAACTTCATTGTATGAGATGGAAATTTGCCATTAATTGGAAATTACACCTTTTGGATAGGGTTTAACAGGAATTTATAGATTGTATATCAGACATCGATGCATGCCTTCAAATTGAAACACCAGCTGGCTTAAATGAAGTATAAATGGTTCTAGGCAAACAAATGAGACATATTGGAGGAAGAAGGAATCCCACATCAAATGTAATTTATATTGAACAGAAATGTTTTAGTATTTTATGTTTATTTAGGCAGCTGTAAAATCACTTCTGGTTTCTTAGTGCATGTGGCAACTAAACTGTATGTTTAATAATCTTCTCAATGCTTTGGATTTTGTACCTCCTATTTTTGTTTTTCATTTCTTTGCATGATGAAGTGTACTCCATTGTGAAACTTTGTGCTTAGGTATTGAACAGTGGATAAGCAACAAAATCCTGAGTAAGGATGAA